CTCGGAGGGGGCTCCGGCGGCCTCTCACCGCGGCGGTTGTCGTTGCAGGAGCGGAGATGAAGCCGCTGGAGGGCGGGCGGCCTGTCATTAGACCCCCCGAGCAGAACGCGCCGCCGCCGCCACCGCCCCCGCCCGGTGTGCAGGACAAAGACAGGCAAAAACAGGAGCCGAAAACGCCTGTCGCCCCCAAAAAGGTACCACTCCGCCCTGCCCGTGCTCCGTCTCTCCGGGGAAAAGGGGTCGTGTGATGCCGGCACCGTGCGCTGAGGTTATAGAGGATAAATTGCGAGAAGGGGCCAGGGGAGCAGCTCCGAGGGGCGCTGGGTTTCTGCCAAAATCCGAAGCCGCCGATCTGAGGTTGAAGAGGAGGGGAGGGCGGCGCGGCGCTGTGGGCAGGCTGCCCTGCCGGGAAGGAGTTGGGTCCCCCACCGCTTGCTGCGCTGCCCGCTCTGGGCGGGAAGAGGAAGGTGGCGGATGGGTGCTATTAGGGCCAGAGGGTTGGTCCCGCTGCCCCCAGGGCTGGAGACATCTCTAGCCCCTTCTGCGGTCATCCCCAGCCCTAGAGACATCTCCAGCCCCTTTTGTAGCCATCCCCAACCCTGGAGACATCTCCAGCCCCTTTTACAGCCGTCTCCAGCCTCGCAGACATCTCTAGCCCCTTCTCTAGCCATCTCCAGCCCCTTCTGCAGTCATCCCCAGCCCTAGACACATCTCCAGCCCCTTCTGCAGCCATCTCTAGCCTTGGAGACATCTCCAGCCCCTTCTGCAGCCATCTCTAGCCTTGGAGACATCTCCAGCCCCTTCTGCAATCATCCTTAACCCTGGAGACATCTCCAGCCCCTTCTGCAATCATCCCTAACCCTGGAGACATCTCCAGCCCCTTCTGCAGCCATCCCCAGCCCTGGAGGCATCTCCAGCCCTTTTTGCAGCCATCTCTGGCCCCACAGCTGCCTCCAGCCCTTTCCATAGCCATCTCTAGCCCCAAGCCTTCTTCAGCCCCTTCCACAGCCACTTCCAGCCCCACGGCTGCCTCCAGCTCCACGGACACATCCAGCCCCACCACCACTTCCAGCCCCACGGCCTCCTGCCGCCACCTCCAGCATGCCACGCTGCCAAGAGGACCAGGGTCACCTTTCCAGCCCTCTTTCTCCCGTGGCAGAAAGTGTCCTAAAAACGCCTCCCTCTGCTCCGCAGGACCTGAAGATAAAGAACATGGGCTCGTGGGCGAGCTTGGTGCAGAAGCACCCCACCACGCCGTCCTCCACGGCCAAGTCCTCCAGCGACAGCTTCGAGCAGTTCAAGAGGGCGGCGCGGGAGAAGGAGGAGCGCGAGAAGGCGCTGAAAGCTCAGGCAGAGCAGGTGGAAAGGGAGAAGGAGCGTCTGCGGCGGGAGCAGGAGAGGATGAGGTGAGGGCACCTTCGTGCCGGGCGTTTTGGGGTGTCCTGCTTGGCTCTTCGGTGCTGCCCAAATCTTTGGGGTTCTGCCCGAATCTTTAGGGTGCTGCCCAAATCTTTAGGGTGCTACCTAAGCCGCAGCCATTTTTGCATGCTGCGGCGCTGTCGAAATACAGCTTGCGGATACCATTTTGGGCAGAGAGGGGAAAAATTTTGAGCCCCCCAGGTGTGCCACACTGTGCAAAACGGGGTGCGAGACACTGCCCGCACCGGTTCGTCCCCTCCCGCAATTACAGCCCTGGGCTGAAAGGCGAACAGCCGGCTTGGGGGTCCCCATCAGAGAGGAAGGGTGGGTTGTACCTGGGCAGGTTGTACCTGGGCGCTAGAGCCGGAGGTGTCCTGCCCTCGCCAGCACGGTGTTTCCTCGTTATCCGATGCTCCGAGCATGGAGCCGCTGTGCGACACCGGCAGGACCAGGCTGGTGGTAACTAAATCGGGTGTCGCTAAATCAAGTGTAACTGAATCGGGTGTAACTAAACCGGGTGTAGCCAAACCGCATGTAACTGGCTGCCCGAAGCGTCCCCCCCACTGACCGCTGCCCCGACTTTGGCCGGAGTCGCGATGACGGCGAC